AGATAACATATTACAAATTTCTGCCTTCTGGGAAAATATTTTCTGATATTTTACCATCAAATTCATTATGTGAAACAAAATTGCATACTGTCATCTAACTCAGGCCTTCTTAAACGTTTTTCAGTTGTGACCCCTTTTTATCACTGAGAACTTTTACGCAACCCCAGATATTAAATATAAAGATAAATATCCTCCCTTAAATAATTTACTTCTTTGGTAAACAATAGACATATAAAAAGAAGTATTTTAAAATTTATTTTAAGCAAACAAAAATTAAAGAAAATTCTAATGAGACAGATGAACTTGTTTTCTGCTGCATAACAAATTAAATGTTGCCGTGATATTTGACACTGCTGGACATAAAGCATCTTGATCCTGTTTTAACATTGAACAACATTTGGTTTTAATTAGCGTTAAAGCTAAAAATGTAGTTTTATAAAAATACATGGTGCTGAACGAGAGAAGAACATTTAATGCCATTTCAGAAATAATGAGAAATCTAGTTCTAACACTGATCCAGAATCCATCAAGGATTTTTGTGAAAACTCATGCTTTAGGTTTGAATCGCTAGATAGCTTTATAAATTCTTTTGCACTTTATATAAAAGGTAATTAATATCAATTAATGTAACTTCTTTAAAAGTCTCATGAATGCAGTTTCTTTAAAGTCAACTATCGAATTGAATTTTCGTGACCCCAAAATTTCATTTTGCGACCCATGGTTTAAGAAACACTTATCTAACTCAGGGTTTCTTAAACTTTTTTCAGTTGCGACCCCTTTTTATCACTGAGATTTTTTTCGCTACCCCCACGACCCCATAATATTTACAAAAATTTTGTGTTACCCTATAATTATTGTGCAAATCCGACACTGTGAGTGAAACTGTCAATTATTTTTCACTTGTACTATAATATACTATTGCAGTTTTAGGTCATTAACTTTAATTTCTAATTTTAAGACATAGAACAATGTGTAAATTTTAAATAAGTAACAGATGAAATGACAGCATCACGTGCAAAGTAAGGAAAATGAACGTTTCTATTATAAAAAGAATGCATCGAAATATATTCGTTCTTTTTGTCTGTATTGTCTTATCATTATCTATTTTCAGATACTTTGTGTAAAAATATTTGGAAATTGTAAAATTATTATAATAAGAAATATTAAAACTGCTAAAATTTTTGGTGACCCCTAGCGGCAGGTCCCGCAACAACTTTGGGAGTCGCGTCCCACAGTTTAAGAAACCCTGATCTAACTGATAGCTTGAGAAAAATCACATAAAAAATAATGAATTAAACAGAATACAAATAGTCATCAATTTTACAATTAGCAATGAAAGTTAAAATTATTCCATTTTAACACGTTGACTGCCACGACAATTTTCGGATTCTGGTCCGACAAGCCAAATTGATTTAATTATATTATATTATTAAAAATACTAATTGTGATTTATAACAATCATTAAAAAGTTTACAGGATTTTTTTTTAAGAGAAAAGGGTCCTATGATTTATCTCGAAGTCGGCTTTTATTAAACAAAGCTCTTCATAGAAGCCCACTACAAGTTGATTCGTACAGACATGCTTCGACTTAGTGCCTCAGTACAGCTAAAACAAGCATTAAGCGAGTAACTCAGTGGTACAAAAGTGGCAAATCAAGAAGCTACGAGATAACTTGTATTGGGCGTCCTGAAGAAGAGCGCTAATACGAGTTATCTCGTGTTGGGCAGTCAACACGTTAAGCTCACTAATACAATAGTGATAAAACAGAATGATTTTGCATCTACTTTTGAGCAGCAGTTTCTGAAAGTTAAGAAATTTTTAATCTACCAACGTTTTAAAAATAAAATACCAATTACAATTTCAGTTGTTTCGTATTCAACATATTTGTCCCAGTATATGCAAAAGTTAAGCAAATAAATCATTTTTCAATGCTTCTACACACTAGCAATTTTATGAATTTATTTTCTAACTTTCTCACAGCAGTTATCTACATTCACTGGGGATAATCAGTTTTTTTTCCTCTCTGTATTTGTTATGATAATATATCATTTACAAGCAAAATGTAACTAATTATTGTGAAATTTGTTTTCAATTCTATGATTTGATACAATGAGAGTAAAACTCTACATTTGAATTTTGTGAATCAGGCAAAGAAACATGAATATTTTTTCCAACCCAGATCACAAATACACCATTAATTAAAAGTTAAAATTATCAGTATTGAAAAAATCAATAGATTTTTGTAATTTAAATAACAACATGAAAGATGAAAATATTAAAAGCAATACAGAACAATATATCCAAAATTAACTTTACATACACAAAAGTAATGATCTTTCATTAAGTAACAATATAATTTGATCTGGTAATTACAATTGCAACACTAACAGAAAGAAGAAAAAACACAAATAGGTTCATTTTACAGATTTTTTATAATACAATATCAAATTATTAAAATTTCAGGTATGTTGGACATACAGAATATGGCACAATCAGTATGAAATGCAGCCATTATAATCAGAAATAACCATAGATGCTCACAGGGAGGTGGGGCAAATGGGACACTTACGTAATCCTGAATCAAGTAAAATATATATGTTGTTCTTAATGCAATAATATACCATGTAATATATTTGTGAACCCATTCAAGTTAAATAATTAAATACAAAATCATCAGTACAATTTTCAATCTCTAGCCTTCCCAGGACATTTTCTGCAGATGCTCACAACAATAATTGCTTTTTACAAAGAGGCATAGAGTTGAATGGACTTTGGTTGGTACTTTAGGATTAGGCAGTCTAAGCATCTATAATATGTTGCTTGATTTCATCACTTGTAACTGCATGTGGTCTTTATTATGTCATTGCGTGTGACATTAGAGATAAGTGCTCAATCAAGGAATGACTTGTGAATGCCAAGAAAGAACCACAACCTGATATATGTCAAGAAATATACAGTATATAGTGGTTACCTATGCAGACTGCCATACCTATGGGCCTGGCTTCATATCCTGGAGAAGGCATGGATGTTTGTACATATATAGTATCTGTGCAGCAAGAAGGTACTCAAAGTATATAGGGAAGCAAACACCGTCTTAAGCGTTTGGCATTAGTGGAAAAGTGCTGGGAGACCACCGAACTGCCCGAGGTCTGCATCAAAACTGGGAAGAAGTTTAATAATTAGCAAGGTCCAGCGATTACTAATATATCTTTGGGAATGCAGAGAAGTTGGTCTTGCTTCAATCTGTACCTGTATATAAAGTAATAAAATTAAATGGATAAATCTCAAGATGGCCACGTGAGACAAGAGGCTGTGGGAAGTCTCACAAAAGATGCATTCAACAACATGGATATAAGAAAATTTCAATTGCTATCTCCAACACAAACTCAACTATAGCCACAAATACAAAGAAAAGGAATTGCATCAAGATTCGAATAGTTTCTCAGGGAAGTCATTTGCATTACATATTTCCTCATGTGTATACCAATATAATTTGTTCAAACCCATCCATAAACAGACACACCAGACCTTTCTTACATCTCTCTTCAAAAGAAATATTACAAACACATATTGTGAAGCATTTGGCTACAAAAAGGATGACCCAGAACATTACCTAGCCAAAATTTACCAAGCCAAAGCTTTCATATAAAGTGCCTGAGCACCAATACCCAAACCATGAACAAATATGTTGTATAAACTGCACTTCCCCCAGGGGAAAACTTTAGAATATTATCCAACAAGATCTCCTCTTCACATGGATGGACTTGAGTTCTCATTGCAACAGCATGAAGTTCATAAGCATAGTATCTCAATAACATCAATAACAATAGCAAGTAAATGAAATATTTAAAACATGTACTCAGGCATTCACACAAGGCATCAGATAGTTTGCAAACTACAGTTATGAGTAAACTCTAGATACCACCATCTCATGTTGTGGCACCAGGGGTGGTCTGTTCATGAGACAGGTTCATGCTTTAGATGTGAAATATGCTGAGACAATACTTGCTCAGTTAACACCATCTCCTATACTTTAACTTGTGAGTCACCAAAGCATCAGGTGTCGAATGCAACAACTGATCATGTATTGTCCTGCTGGAAGATGAATCTATGTTACTCTTGAAGATATCGTAGGCTAATTGTTAACTTTGATGCATCTGTAATATAATGCTGAATAGTCAGGATGCCAGATATGCACGTCAGACACAAGCAAGATTTATATCCAATTACATCCCCTACTCCAAATCTCAGTGCTGAACCAGTATGATGAAGCATAAAGGTGAAGATTTCCCTAAAATACTTCCTTCAATACAGCCATTCACACTTAGGTTGACTATGATCTGGGGCTGATTATTATACAGAACAAGGATTCATATGAGGAAAAAAATCCACGCTATTCATATGTCCATGCATATATGTCCAATCCAGGCCATTTGCAACAAGTTATCTGTCCTCATGGCCCGGGACCCATAAGTTAAATATTTGCATAAAACTGATCAGATTTCAACCAATAAGTACAGTAAAGTGGTGGTACATTATTATTCTGCAATTAAATTTAGACACATGTTGCCGTAGGCTATGCTTTCTACATGAGGCACACCTTAAGCTTTCAGTCCAATGAACGAGAAAACATAATTCTTGTACGGAAAATCCATCATTTGTTATTCTCTAACACAATTCTAAGTGAAATTACAGGCACCCATTATTCCCATATACGTGCTGTGAAGCTATTTTTTTACAGAACCTTGCTATTATACAAAATTTACACTGAACAGATGATTCCTTCATAGTGCTGCAATTTTAATAGCTAAAAACATAGTTACATGGAGAGGTTAGACCTATTTTTCTTTAAGATCAGAGCAATAGAATTTAAAGCCAATTCTGGTGCAAAATGATAATAAGTACAACTGACATGTAAATAATCAAAAGAGTAAAATCTAAATAAAAGGGGGATGTTAGAAATCTTATTACACAAACAAAACAAAAAGACAATTGCTTACTTTTAAAACGTAATCCACATCAATGTTCACTGATCTAAACATCTGTTTGTGCCTGATGGGGAAATTAAATGCTCATGAGAAACTTAAACATTAAAAATATTTAGGCAAAATAACAAAGACTGCCACTTGCAGTTTAATAGCAAAGAATATTATTCAAATTTTACAGATTTACATAATGACAATATAAATGAAATATTAAACCAGAACAGAAAAAAAACCTTAACGCTGTTGATCTATAAAAGAATGATTTTAAAATAAAACTAATAAGTATAATAAAGAAATGAAAAACAATTAACGATTTGTGCCACATTTAGTTCAAATCATTGAACTACATAAAGCCCAAAAATTCTCCATACTTGTTAACCTACAACACTCAAAAATCAGATTTCTTTTAAAGAAAACATAAGATTTTTCTCAGTAACAAAAACATTTTTAAATGATAAAAATATACCTTTTATTAAAGAATTAACTTTAAATAGTTACTAACTCTTAAATGCAAACAGTACATTCTGCATTAATAACTTTTTGTCCTTTATATCCACAGAAAAAATGAATTGTTCATTTTTTTTTAATCGAACTCATGCTGTTCTTGTATACGCACATGTTTGAGAATATTGGCCTTTCCATGTGAAATTGAAAAATCGCAATGACAAACGGTATATATCGCAAACGTATTGCATTTCCAGGGTTAGTAGCCACATTTCAGTTAAAAAAATAAGCACCTGTCTAATAATAACATATATACACAACTGCATAATCTTAAAAGAAAAATTAGAATTGTAATTTAAAATATGAAAAAATTCAGTATTAAGAGAGAATGAGCATTACTCAACCATGGAAAACAATTACTTTTTTTTTTTAATTTTAAATAACAGCTCAGTTTACAGAACTAGTTTACAATGAGAGAAAAAAAAGAACTATGCAGAACTAAACTATATTACAAGATTCAATAATGAGATTTCAGTTCAAAATAGAGAAAATAAATAATAACAAGCCATATTTATTATATTCACACAAACTACAAACTACAGAAAAAAAAAAGGAACAAAATTATTTATGCTTATGAACGAGTAACAATATTTTTATTTTTGACTTTTTTTTTTGTCTCTTTTCATTAATGTCTGAATCCAGTAATCCAGTTCTCTAAACAGAGTTTGTTCTTCACAAATAGTTTTTAACATTTCATTAGATTTATTTAGAAGATTCAAGTCTTTTGTAACTTCAGCCTTTTCAACAAGTTCATTTGCTTCTTTTTCAAGCACTTAGACTTCTCTTTCCTTCAATTTATCTGTTGATTCTGCTTTTCTTTTTTTTTTTCTTGAATATTTTTTCTTTCTCCTGCTCTTCCAAATATTACCAATACAACATGAGCTGATGAAGCTACCACTCTCATCTCTTTTGTAATTGATATATTGTGAATCCCATCAGCATGTTTCCCATAATCACAAACTATACACTGGGCAATGTATGAATTCCCCCCACCCAGATTTTCTGTTTCTATATTTTTATTGATACTAAATCTTCATTCAACAGAGGCTTACCCATGGGCAATAATGAAGATCATTTTAAATGTTCCCATAATTTGAAGTATTTTTCATTAAAGTATCCAATCTCATTTTTTTCAAATGATAGGTTTTTAATTCTGTAAGGTATGCCTGGATAACAATTTCTATGAAATTGGAATATTCCAAAAGAACAAAAGAATGTTACCGCATTCTTCGGCTGCAATGGGATCTTTTTGAGAAAAATGCATCATCATCATGTTACATAACTATTTCAGTGATGAACTGGTTTTTAACATATACTCTTCTTTTATAATTTTGAAATGCTGCAAAAGTTGTTTTACTAATTTGAGTAAATCAAAAGCAAAAAAATGAACAAGTGTTTCATCACTTTGGTACAATTCCAAAAATGGTTTGACTAATTCAGCCACACAAATGGAAAAAAAAAAATTACAATTTTACAAGCATTAAATCGTCTTAAATTGCATCTCTTATTATTTCATATGATTTGCAAATTATTTTTTGCATTAATTAAATTCCATTCTCAATTAGCTTGACATAACCTGTTATATCTCCCCAAATTTCAAATGCACGCAAACATACTGGCACATTCACTAGCCAGTTATGGTTACAAAATTTCAATGGCAAAGTCTTTTGCACACACACACTGTTAAAAAAACCTTCTGGAAGTTCTGGAGAATCTTTGAATGGATGGTACAGTGCTCCTAAAATAGAAGGTATATCTCAGCTTGCAGATGATGCTCCTTTACAGAAAGCATTGTTCAAAATAAGTAAGCCACAATGACCAATACATATCATTCAGTGCCATATTCCTTTTTCAGTTCATTTTGGAAGGTTCCATAAAAATTCAATTTACAGCTGGCTCATCCATACTTATTTCTAGCAGCTTTTTTATATTTAGTTTTTAACTGCCATTTGAAAATTTTCAAAAAAATTAGCAGCTGTTGCATGTCCCATGAGAACAGATGTCAAAAATCGAGTTACAACTTTATTTTGATCAGACTGCCAATATCTTTACATGCAAATCTTGCTTTTTTTTTTTTTTTTTTTTTTTTTTTTTTTTTATTTTTTTTTTTAATTTTATTGTTAAGTCTTGTCATAAATGGTGGTACAATTATTTGAGACAGTCATGCTGCTTTTAATATAATAATTTAATTTATATAATAAGCCATTTTGAACAATAATAGATAAAGCGTAGCTGGACAAGGAACTATGATAACAAAACAGATCGTTAATCAAATCAATCTTCTTCGAATCTATATTAACAACAGAAAAAACATTATTTATTGCTATCAGTTACCAGATTGGCAGCGTTGAGTTGTAGTAGGCAGGTCACCAAATCAAATAACAAGATAAAGTGGGATAGATTCTTAAATTCGTCATACATGAGACTCTGAAAATATGGTGTTAATCACAAGCGTCTTGCTATAACACTGTCAGGGAACATACTTAAAAGAAGTTTGCCCATATCACTGCTAAATCTATAAGAGTAATGACTTGTCACCACTTTCAAACAATGCAAAATTTCAGCTTCCAAAACATACTCTGAAGCTCCTACAGCATCATCTAACATATTTGAATTTCAGGCAGAACAAATAATACTTGGAGAACTGGAAGGTGAAACACTAACAGGAGGATTTGATTCTGGGAAGAAGCTTGTTATTCCACCAACAGTTGTATTTTGCCTTTCAGAAATTTTTTATGCTTGGCACCTAAAAATAAATACAATTTATTGTACATTTATTTATTTTCCCACTCATATTAATATTTAAACAATTTAACTAAAATAAAAATTCTGAACATTTTCTGAATTTTCATTATATAACAGTTTTCCCTTAAAAGCTATTGCAAGCAAAGTAATTTAAGTGAAAATAAGTAAAAAGAGGAACATTTCTGAAATCAAACGGCGAGAAATTGCTTCATGCAATCACCCTTTAACAGTAAAAGCTTAACTAACTGGCACATTCAGCAATTGCAGAATATCTGAAAATTCTGGATAGTAGAGCATAATTGGAAAAAGAGGGGGTAGCCTGTAGCTGTTTCTTAGATATTTTTTGGCTAAATAATGCCTTTCACATTTCAATATGTGCATCATATAAAAATAGCCCAATAGAACTGAAAAAATATTCTGCTTAGCAAGCACAGTAACTCTTTTTAAGTGCTCATAAACAAATCTCAGACTGAATATCAAAATTAATTATCTTTGCAAAATATCACAAACGTTATTGCACAATACGTGCGCCTTAATTCTTCCACACATGATATTATGCAATCTGAAACAACAGCTGCCGATACACGGAGAATAAGTAACTAAATAAAGGAAAAGAAAGAGACTTACCAACCTGGAGTGCTTTTCATTCTAATTTTGAACAGATCACGTTAAATTTCCAGAACAGAATCAATCTTCAATTGGGTTGGTAGACTGCAGAAATTTTAATCCTATTCAATCCAGATAGGAAAGTGACAAAAACAAGTCTGTTGCTGGTTTTACTGCAAACTGTAAAGGTTTTAATATTCAAAATTTTTTGGAGAAAGGGGAGAACCCCACACACACTTCCGTACTATATAATGCATCGGTAAAAAAATTGAAAATGTAAACCCAAAATTCCCAACTTGAAGATACATGTGAAATACAGAAATAATGGGAAGGAGGGATACATATGAGTAGTATGAAAAAAGCTGTTAGAAAGCAGAAAATGAAAATTTAAATAAATAAATCAGTGGTTCATGGCAGACTTTAATTCCACACATTAGAATCAATAATAATTAACTAGAAAAAATTTACTTACGATCCATGCAACACTTTAAAGAAGACTCTCCCATGCTTGCTATGCTAATTTCAGTTTTACACCAGGAACATATGGCCTTGCAATTGTTTTCACTTTATTTAAGCCATTCCAAACATCATTCCTTAGAAAGACAATCTGTGTTAAAACACACTTACCCATTTTTTAAGTTTATCTATATTTCAGCAGTTACTGCAAATATGTCATTATAAATATTCATACATATGCTCACAATATAAGCATACCAATAATAATAAACGTGAATAAGAACTGACCATGTGGAATGAGAATGCAAATTATTAAATATTCACACGTCTAGTCTTGGGTGAAAGTAAAAGAACATAGAATGTACCGAAATTTTCTACCGCTTTTGCAATTCTTTGACCAATAGAACAACATGCACCTATCTGTATTCGCATGCATCAAAGGTTACATTAATGCAGAGAAAGGAACAAAAAGCTATTTCTGGAAGTATGATTCACCATCTCACATTCCAGATAAGGAAGAAAAGTTATCTATTTAATTTCAGCTCTGGTATTGGGGAAAAATGTGTGATCGTTTAAAAAAAAAAGCAAAAAATAAGCTCTAAAAACAAAAACAAAAATAAGTGCTTTAGAGAAAAGTAAGCAGCTATAAAGGACTTCGTATTTTATTTTCAAATATAAGGACTTATAAGTACTTGTAAGGACCGCTATGCACCCTGATTTCCTTGATGAAATAATAGAAGTCATCTCTTTACGATT